TCGAATCGCGGCTTCTTCTCCGAAATCATAAACAGTGTCTCAGATTTAGCCTTCAGCCACTCCGGACGGTATGTCCTCAGTCGGGACTATCTCACCCTCAAAGGTAATTGCTGTTGTCACCCTCCCATCTTATTTCGCTCCGCTCCGCCTCCCCGCCCCCACTCTGCTTCCGTAGCTGCAGGCTCTGTATGGTCGCAGTGCTCTAAATCTTCGCCTATCAGCCTGTTGTTTACCATACAGAAGCCCGTATTGTTGAGCGGCTTTTATTCCTACCTTGTAGTTCGCCTTAATTGTGCGGGGAAGGGGGAGGAGGAAGGTAGGATAGTATCAAATTATACTCCACTGCCGTGTCTACTGAAACGTCTAGGGGAAAACCAGAATTTTCGGAGTATAGACGAAACCTACCGGCAGACCTTGTGTATTATTTTGAAGACAAATGTTTTTTTAATGGAATATGCGGCGACACCTAAACATCCGTTGGGTGAACTAGCCGGATTTCATCCACAGACGGGACCTCTTTTTGCCGTATGCCTTGCTCCAAATTTGAGCCGCTATTCTACCCCATTTTACAGCTAAACGGACATACTGAGGGCATATTTATAAGGCCATATAAACGACAGTACTTCTACGGCCAGCGTTCCTTGATCTCGGACAAATTATTTGCTTCACTCCATCAACTTCGTCAACTAATCAGACGAGATTTTTAAACGGCGCCATTTATTTTGAAACCCGGTTTCACGGGGTTTAGCGGTGGAACGACGTAGTTGGGCATTTCCGTGTACTTACTGCCACTATATTCTTACAATTCCTGATAGCAGGTCAACTTTGTTCCGAACGCCCTCCCTTTGGAGACTTTAAGCTTTCCATCTGGTGGAAATCTCTGCTATCTAGGGTGTATAAACCGAACGCCTCTTGGTCCGCACACCAGGGGGTTAACAATAGGAAAGTCAATGCAACTGCAGGTTCATATTTCTCAACTGGTGTAGTTTTCAGTACCAATTGAGGACACCATGTTTGAGGTCATGTTGCGAGAATGATGAAAATTCCTCCGAGCTATATCTCTTTCTGAATTCGCGCAATTTAAAGAAACGCCAACAGATTTTTTTTCAAATACTATCCAACTCGCACTGCTAACAAACAATTGTTTTATCCTACAAAGTAGAATGCCATATTGCTGAAAAGAGGCTTTACAGTACAAGAGGGGTCGGGCACCGGTCTGCTTGACTGCAGGTCCCAGATGGTGTGGTAGAGATCACGAACAGGCTACCAACTTGCTTTGTTTGGCCCTTAGTAAGGCTGCCATCATGTCTGACCTAGTCGGTCTTGATGATGTCACAGACTGTACCTCTTCACGCGTGGCGATCCGCGGCAGCAGCTCCTGACAGCTCAACCCATTCTCTTCACCACCGATGAAGGCGGAGTATCAAAGGTCCAAAACAACTTCCCTGTCTCGAGGAAGCGTATCGAGATGGTTTTTTTGCCTGCCCTCCCCCTCTTTTCGACGCTTCCATCTGGTTAACGATGCCGGATCAAGGCCAGTAACACCAAGCTCGTGAGATGATGAATGACAAAGCACGTGCCTAAATCATGCCAGTAGTCTTTTTTGGATGGTCCCTGGGATATCCGTGGGATTTTGTCGCAGCAACATCTACATTGCCACAAACATGCACGTGTGCCATGCATCCGTTCGGTCATTTCCTCTCCCTGGTTTTGAATGCTGGGTTGTGCGCGCGTGGAAGATGAGGGGAAACTGGAGGTAATTGCCCACCACTGCTTAGGTACCATCCTTCAATCCAGTGCGATTGTCAAGTACCAAATCGCCAAACGATTAAATCAACTGTAATAACGGATATTGATGAAAATGAAGGGCACTTAAAGGAGACTAAATAAATCGCGGGTAGCAGCAGCAGGGTTCCCGAAACCCCTTCTTTTTGACTGTTGCTGGTTAACCACTGTGGTTTAACGACCACTTTATGGTTGCGTAATATCTTGGGGGTAGGTGCGCATTGATAACTTCCATACCATTCCTCCCATACTGCGTGCCGTTGTTTTCAATAACCCCCCCTCCTTTGTTTTTTTGCTATAGTTTGGGATCTCAACATGTCGCGAGAACCTGTTGAAACCTACCACGTGCACGAATACTTTCGGAGCAAGTTCTGTTCCCTCTACGAAAACGACTGCATTTTCGACAAGTTTGAATGCAGCTGGTCTCCCAACGACAAGTGAGTAACTCTACACACTTTATGAAAATGACTTGAAAAGTATCCAGTTTGCGAACCCTTTTTGTCTTTACCGACCTATTAGTCGCAAAAATTGCATTTGCGTTCTATGGCGTTTCGAACGTGTTAGCTGCTCTTCAGTTATGTTCGTCTTCGAAGGTAAGGGGCACCTCCAGGAGGTGGAAGTGAGCGATTGTCATTGTACCCGGTTCACCCTTTTGTCTTATCTGTCCTTCTTTCCATTGCAATAACCGGCCTGCATTTCCTGTTTGTTGGGAGTGAAAAGCCGCTCTAAACTACTTTATCCTTTGGTAATGTGCATTTTCGGTTTTGCTAGCCGCTCGCACGCAATCAAGTCTTTGCGGCGCAGTTCTAGAGCACAAAATGGTGTATGATTTGTGTTTCGTAAGCAGCTGCGGCGACCCTGTTCGTGCCTACCGGCGTACACAGAGAGTAAGACAACCGCTCTTTGGCCAAACTTATGTCTGAAAGGCCTGATAAATATCATAGTCGCATGTGCAAATAAGTCGGAGTTACTTTTCACTGGCTTCCCCCTGAACCTCACTCACTTCTTACGTCTCTGCCGATGTGCTGGCGGTGGACTGTCTGATCCACACAGACGTCCTTACCGCTACTACCTATACAGCACCCTTGCAAGTAAAATTACCGAATAATTCCCTGTTAACTTTAATTTTTTTAAAGTCGACACACTTCACAGGTACAAGGTACTTCTAACTAGAACCATACTGGTGCATTAGCTGGCGTACCTCGTGAAATCTTAGCTTAAATTTGGAAATGTGGTTTCGGTTAGAAAGGCCTACTCTACTGGGCTAGCAGTCTTTTCGTCTACCTCGTAGCATAATCCCAAGATAATTTAGTCACGCCGAAATGTCAACTTTTAAATGCACTTGTTTCTGGCGGCCTGCAGAAATCGCATTTGCCAGAACGTATGCTTTTTCATACTGATTTTTTATGTCCTTAAATCCAAAACATGCACAAAATACTGCTTATTGTACTCACTTTGTACTAACTCACGTCTAGTTTTGTTCTGTATCAAACAATTTCGCCGCTTTAAAGGCGTGAAGGGCAAAAAAGTAACAACACATGAAGGCGGTTCATGAACCTTCGTCAGAAAGGAGAGGAAAATTAGAGTCGCTTTCCACTGATAGCCGTGTGTTAAGAAGTCCCATCCGTCTATATCGTGCCTGATCAAGGCCTTACGACACATTATTCAGTGATGGGTACTTTCCTTCAGTACTCCTCATTGACATCCGCTAAACCATGCGGAGTGGAAATTTTAGGGGTAGCAATCGCGTAGTGGGTCATGTTTGCCTTTGAAATACCTGCTTTTGTTCTTTAAGTGGACTTAATTTACCACCCTACTCTTTCGTTCATTCTTCTCCAAGCCTTCCTCCACTGTCACCCCCAGGGTTAGGATTGACAGTTAGGATTAGGACTATCGTTAGTCTTTTGATACCGGTTGAAGGTTCGGGTTTAGGCTGTCAGCGCTGTTAACTTCATAATTGCGTCCGGCCATCACGAGAGTCTAACGTGATCTTCAGGCGCGCTTCCTTAGGCGTGGATAAGTCATGCAAATACC